GTGGACCCGTCTGGGTTCCTGCTGACAGAGCCTAGATTGTGCCTCTCAGTCTCATGCTATTGACATCTCAGTTCATTTTTAGGCCCTCAGCCTACAAACATCTATTGGAGTCAGAATAACTGCTTTTAGCATGTGAGCAACCGGCAGACAATGACTGCCCCACGAAGGGAGAGGGCTGGTGATGCACACATGGCTCTGCAGGCTGTTGCTTGGTATACACTAGACTTTACCTGCCTTGGCCTGCTGGAGTGGGTAGCCGTCTCACAGGAAGGAGCCAAACTGCTACATCTTCTGCTGGCCAGGTGGCCCTCGGGGTTGGCAGAGCTATGGGACCATCTGGGCTAGCTGAGAAGCTCTTACAGGCCCCTTGGGTGTGGGCTTTGGCTGGAGGGGGTGGCCTCAGAAGGATCATCCCTCACCTCCATCCTAATGGCCTGCACTAGTGGGTGCTGAACATGCTTCCCCTGCTCTGGTCTCACTCTGTGTTCTTTTTCATCAGGTCTGGCAAACCATGGACAGACCAGGCACATGGTAAGAGTGGGTGACAAGAGACTTGGCACACTTCTGTGTGTGAACATATCCCTGGGGTGATGGGGAAGTGGCCCAGGTAGTCCCTCTTCCCCAGCCTGGCCAGGCTAACAGGGAGCCTAGCCCCAGAACACTGAGGCCTGAACAACCCCCCAGGAGCTCCCTACCTGGGCTGGGTGCCTTACTGTGGAACCTTGAGGTCCAGGAAGTGGGGCTCTTGGGCTGAGATGTGTAAAGTAAGGCCGGCACTATCTTGCTGTGTTCATATCCACCTCTTGTTCAACACAGGGACCAAGTCGGAATCTCCTGCTTAACGGGAAGTCCTACCCCACCAAAGTGCGCCTCATCCGTGGTGGCTCCCTGCCTCCTGTCAAACGGCGGCGAATGAACTGGATTGATGCCCCAGACGATGTATTTTACATGGCCACAGAGGAGACCAGGTTGGAGCCTTTCCTGGGACGGGATGGGAGTCTTCGGCTACCACCTTCTGGTTTTTACTGGCTCACCTCTTCCCGCAGGAAAATCCGCAAGCTGCTCTCATCCTCAGAAACCAAGCGTGCTGCCCGCCGGCCCTACAAACCCATTGCCCTGCGCCAGAGCCAGGCCTTGCCGCTGAGGCCACCCCCACCTGCACCAGTCAACGATGAGCCTATTGTTATTGAGGACTAGGCAGCCCCCCACAGTGCCGTGCGGCCTGCCTGGGCCCTCCACCAGAGGCCAGGCGGCCTCCCTCCCCCACCAGACTGCTGCCCACCCCACCCTCTGTTTCCGTAGTGCCCCAACTCCCGCCCTCACATGCAGAGAAACTGCTCCTCTGGTGGACATGCGGGGGAAGAAGTGTGGTCTAACTTATTCCAAGACACCGAGGAGTCTTTTTTAGCTTTGTGTTTACTTTCTGGCTGGAGCAGAGATGAGGAATGCCCGGGTCCTGTGCTGCTACAGGGCTTCTCACCGGGGTGGGCTTTAAGGTTTTGTTGTGTTCTGTTGAAGGTGCCATTTTAAATTTTATTTTTATTACTTTTTTTGTAGATGAACTTGAGTTCTGTAACTTACACCTGGAATGTTAGGATTGGTGAGGCCAGCAGCGGCCAAGCTGCCTGGCAGGGTTGGTCCCTTGTCTTTTCAAGTAATTTTCATATTAAACAAAAACAATGAAAAAAATCTCATAAAAAGGAAAACCCCAGCAAGCCCTTCTGTGTTCTTTGTTCCAAGTCGCTCTCCTGGTTTAGGGCCTTGACGCCCCACCCTGCCCCTCTTGGCAGGTACATGGTCAGGCCCAGGAAGATGGGCCATAGCTACAGGTCAGGCCAAATGCTGCTCAGCTCAGTGCTCTGGGGTCACTCAGTCTGGAGTGTACTGCTTCGAGACCTGTTTCTGCGGGTGTTTGCTCCAGTGCCCGCTGCCCTTCCCAGAGGGGAAGCAAGGGGCTGACTGGTGAGGACCTCCACTCTCGATGTTATGCTAAAACTGACTCACGTGCCGCAATGGGAGCGGACCCTACCTGAGGCCTTACAACTTTTCACAAAGCTTGAGGTTCGGGGCCACCCACTATGCCCCCAGCTGTCAGGCCTGCTGCCCTAAGCTGGGCTGCCCGAGCAGGTGTGCTTTTCTCAAGTATTTACTCAGATTTCTGCTCAGAAATCTTATCTCCGCCTAGAGACAGGTGCAGGCCTGGCCAGCTACTGGAAGAAGGAGGGCTGGCTCTACAAACCATCATCCCTCAGGCTGCTGCCTCAGCTGGTCAAGAAAAGGGTCAGCCAGCCCCTCCCTGGGAGCAGTGGGGAATTTTGGCCTCTGCCTCCCGCTTCTCCTGCCCTACTCAGGCGCCTATGATATGTGGAAATCTCAGATGGGGGATTAAAATAGAAACCACTTACGTTCCCACTCGGTATAGATAGGGGTGGTATCTTTGCTTTCCTGAGCCTGTGATGGGGCTTATCAGGGTGACAGGCCAGGTGTCTGGGACAGGGCTGTGACATGTACCCCGTCTTCCTAGGGTCATTTAGCTTCTTGCCCCAGTTGGTCTTGGTCTTCATCTTGTCCGGTACTGCTCCAGGACTGTCCAGTCTTCAAGGGCCTTCTCTGAGTCCTTTTCCCATGTGGGAGTCTGCAGGGAGCATGGCTCTCGGCTCAAGCCCCTTCTGATCTAGTTCCCTTGTCCTCAGGCCCTTGACTCACCTCAGTGCCTCAGCCAGTGCCCACTACAGCACCAAAGCCAGTGTGTCGGGTTATGTGTCCACCTCTGGCTGCTGGGAGATCAAAGCCAAGGCAAAGAACGGGAAGTGAACATAGGCTGGTGGGCTTTATCCTGAAGCCCTATTTGACAGAGAAAATGGGCAGAGGACATTCTGTGAGGGTCAGGCACTCATGACCTGAGGGACTGGCACTGACTTGAAGACCTGATCTAAAAACAGCCTGCATACCTGCCCAAGTCATGTCTTAGAACCTTCATCCCAGGCCTTGTCATGCCTAGGGCCTAACTGTCCCAACCCAGTCATGGGTTTCCTATAAAGTAGACCTGTGACCCTGTTCTGAGGGCAGGACACATGAAAATATAATTTCCAAGATACTTTGTTTCTTGCCGGGACCATAGAGAAAAAAAACGTAACTTGCTCCACATCCTGCTGTCTTCCATACTGCGTGGAGGACAAGAAGTACAGTAAAGATGGTTTGGTACAGGGCACCTGTGACCTGTCTGAACAGAACCAGGAAGGCACTGTGGAGCCCCGTACGTACCCCTTCCCTTGGCTGGTGTGTGTGCAGAGATGCCTTTCTGTCCCTGCTCATGCTGTCCTGTTACTGCCCTCTTGCCCTCACAGCCTCAGATGTGCAGGCCAAGGCCACTGTTTTTGTCATTGGCCCATGTGCCTTCTTGCCAGACACAAGACAGCCCCATGCATCCCCACTCCTTGCTGGATCCCCTTCTCACCCTGGGCATCTAGCCAGTATTACGTGCCATTCTTTTGGAGGGCCCTGTTCCTATCTACTCTCATCAGGGCTGGGCACACTTGAGGCCTTTTTAGAAGACTACCTTAGCCTAGCCCTGTTAGCCCTGTCTTTCACTGCAAATATTAGGGGTGGGTGGTTAAGCAAGCTGTTAGCTAGGTTCTGCAGGACTCCTGAGATGGGCAGCTGGGAAAGACAATGAACGGGAACCTGGCTATGAATGGAGGGACCCTGTCCAGGAAGGCACTGGGAGGCCTCCTCAACCTGCCTCTTTCCTTGGCTGGCATGTGTCCAGGGGTGCCCAGGGGGAGCTGGTCAGGCTGGTCAATCAGGCTTGGAGGGGGGGGCAGCACATGTTTCTGAGCTGTTGTCACCATGGAAATGGCAGTAGCTTCAGGATATGTGTGCAAGGAAGGGGAGAGGCCATCACATGGAGCAATAGTAGTAAACCAGGGATCACCTGAGACCACTTGACTCCCAGTCCTTGGGCTGGCAGAGAAATGAAATATGAGTGTCCAGCCCAGCAGTGAAGACAGTGGGAGTGGTGTTTCTGAAGTCAGTTGCCCATACTGGGTCAGGTCATCAGGGTCTGGGACATAAAGGGTGTTTGTTTCCCAGACTCAATGCCCAGGTTTGGTCAAAAGGCTCAGAGAGAGGTCTGCGGGTTCCTGGGTCCTCTTTTCGGTTCCTATATCCAGGAGTTACAGGATGGAATCAAAAAGTAGGAGAGGCCCTACTGGGAAGCCCCTAGTGGTAAGGAGAAATGGGAGGGGGATTGTATCTGAAGAATAGCAAGGTGGTAGGCAGGATCTAGCTGGCAGGATTTCTAGTTGTACCACCCTACAAAATGCATAGGGGACAGAATTCTGGGAGTCAGAGACCCTGGCCTGAGGAAGACCAGCAGCAGTCATGGGCTTGGGGCTCTCTCACAGCTGGAGGTGTTAGAGGAAACTCACCGGTACCCTGCTCCTCCTAGGATAGAGCTGGGGAGGAACCTTAAGGCGCAAGTGCACCTGCTGCCTCCTCAGAGCCCGCACTGCCTGTTTCCACCCCGCCCCCACTCATCCCAGTGGTTTCTTAGGCTGTTTTTGGAAGTGGTGGCAGCTTACTAGTGAGCCTCTCCCGCCCCTCCTTCAGCACCACAGACAGGACCGCGGCGCCCCGCCCGGAATCCAATGCTTCGTGCTTCTGTTAGCCCAGGCCGTTGCTATGGAAACGAGGCAACAAAGGGAGGCGGCGCCCGGGAGGCGGGAGTGGGGGGGGGGCATCCCGCGGGCTTCTCGCACCCACTCCTTACACGAGCCAGACAAGGGGGGGTCGGGGCCTGGGGCTGGAAACCCCAAGTCTGTTCTTCAGCTAGAGGCCACGATGTTGTCATGGAAACTGCGGGCGATCCCTGTAGACACCACCTCACTGTGGGGTAGGGGGCGCCAGGCCCGGCCCCTCCAACCCTGGCAGGTGCGCCCCGCCTGCCGTGTGCTTTGCTGCTGGCGTCCTGGGGGGCGGGCTCCTGAGGCCCCGCCCAGGTCTCGGAGCCAATTGACATCCGGAGGCGGGCGGGGCAGACGCGGGCGGCGGCGCAGAGACCAGTTCGGGTGGAGGGCGCGGACCTACCGAGCACAGGGACCATGGCCTCCAAGTGTCCCAAGTGTGACAAGACCGTGTACTTCGGTGAGTATCCTCCCGCCGTCTGCCTTCGCCTCCAGTCCCCTGGCGCAGAGCCACACCCCGTTGTGTACTTGGATCCGGGTGCGCAGCCATGGTCCGTGGGATGCGCAGCTGGTAGCTAAGCTCGCCACGCTGCTCACACGGATGCGGCCGAAGGCTCGAAGGTGGGGCTGCGCTGGGCAAGGGAAGCCACTTGGGATCCTGGAGAGGCTGTGGCGTCGGGTGGGTTAGGAAGCGACCCGTAGGCTTTGGGCGAGGTACGCAAAGTCCTGGTCTGCCGGGACGGGAGCGCCCTCCTCGCCAGCCGCGTGTTCAGCTCATGGCCCTTCTTCAGCGGCACTGTTTGGGGAGGAATCCAACGAAGCCGGACGCCTGGGACAGGTCCGATAAGATTCCCTGGGTCCCGGCATCTCCGCCTCACACTGTTGCTGCCTACTAGACGACACGTGGATCCAGTAGTGTGACCCAGAGTAGTGAGTGACCCCAGTCCTCACTCCGACCTCTGCCCAGACCTCTGTACCAGGTCTGGGTTCCGCCGGGATTCCGGATTCAGTCCAAGCGGGGGCGACCTCGGCCTTTCCTCTTACATGCCTCAGCTTGCTCCCTTTCTTGGCCATTTGCCTCGGCAGTTTCACCCGGGCGGGGTGGGGCACTGGCGACACGTGAGAGTCTAGGACCCTGGGCTCTTGGAGCTCTAGGCCAGCAGGGAAAAAGGTATTAGTATGCAGGAATGTTTGGTTCCTGCTAAGGTGGCCTCTGAAGGCGGTCACCTTTATCAGGCATCCCCTGTTCCCTGAACTGCTAACCTCCTGGGGCTATGCTCCAGGCTGAACAACTTTTCCCGAGTAGCAGCCCACCAAAAGATAAGACTCAGGGCCAGAATAGAGGAAGACGTCGGGCCTGAAAAGACAGGGTCCCCTTCTATGACCATCTCAGAACAGTCGTGAGTGTCCAGGTCAGTGGACTTCTAAAGCTGACCGGAGGAGAGGAGAGGCCACTTTTGTTTGTTCCCAGAGGGGAGGGACAGGATTTGGCTTGGAGTTGTTCTGGGCGGCCTGGAGCCAGGGGTTTCCTGTTGCCTCCTGGAGGGGAGGGACAGAATGTCTGATTTCAGTCCTTTTCCTACCAAGGGATGTCGGGCAAATCTCAGGGTGAGGACAGTCCTCAGGGCCATTCTTCATGACTCTGCCTCTGGCCAGGCAAGCTCTGGGCTCTCTGGGGCCTTGGCCAGCAGGCCACACGGAAAAAGCTTTCTGCCTGCTTGGGCGCCTCTGGCTCTATGCAGAAAACAAAGGCTCCTCAGTCAGTTGGCCTTTGTCCTATGGGGAGGTGAGGGGTCCAGAATGCTGCTCTTTCCACCCAGCTAGGCTGTGCTCCAGCTGTCCACATCTGAGTAGACTTTAGGCCATAGGGACCCCAGGTTGCCCTCTAGAACATGTGACCAGGTAGGAGACCTTCCCCTCCCAAGCTATTAGGCTCAATCGATGCCGCATTCCCAATTTATGTCTGTAATGGGGCCATCGACCCAACCAGTGGGTCTGAGGGTCAGTGCCCTGCCCCCACGTGGCCCGAATCCCAGAGCTGGCCAGAGCAGAGTGGTTTTGGCAGCCTTGGGCAGCAGCTGCCACAGCCACTGATGGCCATCCCAACAACCTCCTTATCACTGCACTGAGAGAGGATGCCAAGCAGGCATGGGAGCCAAGCCTGCTTCTATCCAGGTCGCTCTTGCCTGTTCTGGACAGAGCAGGGTTCTGGATCACTTGTGTCTTGGAATCACAAAGGGAACTAAGTGATACTGTTGAGGGCAAGGGTCTGGGGGTTCCTGGAGGATGCCCTGTCCTGTCCATGCACAGCAAGTTAGGGCTGTGGAGAACCAGACTTGGCCGCATGGTGGATCCAGGCTTGCTGCCCAGCAGCAGCACCTCCTGGGGGTGGGGTGGGACTCTCAGAGTAGGCTGCGCTCCCTAGTATTTGCCAAGGTTGTCCAGAGGAGGCTTGGCCCCAAAGGGACCACTAGACCACTCTTGAGAAAGGAAGGCTGGAGAGCTTTTTTCTTCTATCCTGAGTACAGTGCCAGAGCCAAGCAAGCATAACACCCCTCCCGCCTCCCCCGCGGCCACTCTGCTCCGGCCTGGCCCCTTCCCTTTGGAATTCTGGCTCTGCTCTCAGCTCAGGCCCTTCTTCCTGCCCACTTCTCCACCCGTTTCCTGCCTTACTCCCTTGGGGAGGCCCAAGCTTCCGTCCATTGGGATGTGGCTCAGCAGTCATAGCTGTGGAGGTGGTGGGGGAAGCATGCTCACAATCCTCAGCTGCTGATCACAAACCTTTGGCGCCAAACTGGCAGCTGGAGGCAGAGGGTGGAGGGAGAGATCTCAGGCTTAGGAGAAGGAAGCCAAATAGGGCTCTGCAGCTACCAGGACTGCTGGTCCCTCACCTGGTGCTGAAGAGCAAGGGCTGTCGTCTCAGTACTGGGGCTTTCCTGGCTCGCGTGGGCTTTGGGGGAGGGGCACAGGTGTGAAGAGAGGCACTATGAGTGTGAGGAAGGAGCAGGTAGAAACAGGTGCAGTCAACAGACATTGAGGGGTTAAACTGCTTAGGCTTGAACAAGGAGAAAAGGACTCCAGGATGGCTGATGGACAGTAACAGTACTGGATGTTAACAGTAGCCTAATCATGGAGCCACCATGGGTGGGGTGGGAGTGGGGCATGATATCACCAGGTGGTGTGAAATGGAGGGATGTGGGCTTCTGGACTACAAGAAGAGGAACAGGAATGCGGCCCTGACCTCCTACAACCCACAGCCGAGAAGGTGAGCTCCCTGGGCAAGGACTGGCACAAGTTCTGTCTCAAATGCGAGCGCTGCAACAAGACACTGACCCCGGGGGGCCACGCTGAGCATGATGGGAAGCCCTTCTGCCACAAGCCCTGCTATGCCACACTGTTTGGACCCAAAGGTAAGCAGAGTCTCAGCCAGGGGCAGCTCCTGTGGGTGCTGGGTGGGGTAGGGGTGTCATCTGCTCTTACCTCCCCCTCCCTTGTGCCACCCCTAACCTGGAAAGCCTTGAAGCAGCCTTGGGAGTTTTGTGTAAGGGATGGGGGGTGTCAAGGCCTCCGATCCTTAGCCTCCTGTTGGCACGCTTGCCACCTACAGGCGTGAATATAGGGGGCGCTGGTTCCTACATCTATGAGAAGCCCCTGGCTGAGGGCCCTCAGGTCACTGGCCCCATCGAGGTCCCTGTGGTGCGAACAGAGGAGAGGAAGACGAGCGGACCGCCCAAAGGTCCCAGCAAAGGTGAGATAGGCTCTGGGTGGGGGTCAGGTATGGGTGGCCAAGGTCCACCCTGACCTAACTTCTCCCTTCCAGCCTCTAGTGTCACTACATTCACGGGGGAACCCAACATGTGTCCTCGATGCAACAAGAGGGTGTACTTTGGTAAGTGACTGCCCAGTCTCCTGATTCAGGGAAACTGTGCCTCAGGGTAGGGGTTGCCACCATGACCGTCCTCCTCCCTTCCAGCCGAGAAGGTGACCTCTCTGGGCAAGGATTGGCACCGGCCCTGCTTGCGCTGTGAGCGCTGCTCCAAGACGCTGACTCCCGGCGGGCATGCCGAGGTAAGGGGTGCAGTTGCGATGCAGGAGCCAAACAGGTCTTAAGGAGGGGACAGGGAGGAAGAGCGTACTAGACTCGGGATTCCGGAACTGGTGGTGGTGGGGGGTGTACAGGAAACAAGGAATTCTGCTGCTGCTTTGCCCCTGACCTGGGATTGCCCCAGGCTCTGTGGACTGCGCTCTGGCCACTAGAGGGCAGATCTGCTGCTCTCCTTGGAGCTCTACTGTCCCTGTCAAAGGGAGCGGGCAGGCGCAGGAACTCTAAAGCCCAAGACCTCAGGGAGGCGACTCCTACACTATGAAGGTCTCACTTCGTCTGGGAAGTATGGAGTGGGGTCCATGCTCAGCACTCTCCCTACGCTGCCCACAGCATGACGGCCAGCCCTACTGCCACAAGCCTTGCTATGGAATTCTCTTTGGACCCAAGGGTGCGTATAGTGAGGGTGGAGGACGCGGGGACCTCTTTCCTTCCCCAGATCCCTGTTTGTTCCTGCTCATCCACCCCAGCCACTTTTCTTCACAGGAGTGAATACCGGTGCTGTGGGCAGCTATATCTATGACAAGGACCCTGAAGGCACAGTTCAGCCTTAGATCTGCACATGCTGTCCTCAGGATCCCTTACTTGGCCCTGAGGGAAAGTGACCTGCTGCCTAGTCCTGCCTCAGTGTGTCTTGCCTGCAAACCCCAGGGCCTAAGTGGTGGAGGAGGAAGCCTCCTGGGTAGTCTCCAGAATAGCCCAGAATTTCAGCCCTATTTCTTTGTGTGTTACCTCGGCATGTCCTATGCTACCCACTGTCCCCTTTGTGTCTGTGC